TATATGCAAAAGGGTTCATATTTGTTGTCTGTACTTCCCATGTACCTCTCTATGTCTTTCTCATCCTCAATGCTGCCATATTGGTCGCTCACATTTGGTACCTTGCCCTTCTCTTCACCCAAATCAGTATTTATCTCTTTCTGTCTAACAGAGTTCCCTCCCTGCCCCTCCCACCCCTCATTACTTAATTTAGATGCAAAAGGAAGTTGAACTAAATATAGTAAAGGAAACAAGCATAGGAAAGTTTTACTTTTCTAGAACAACAAAAATATGAGTTATTCTAATGCATACCTTTGGTAAAGAAAGAATCACTGTTTTAGGGGAGTAGCTTGATTTTTATCTTTACCTTTAGATAATGGATGGTAGTGAACTTGGAACCTCCTAGAATTTCATTTTCTTTTTCTTTGTACATACACTTATTGCATCCCTGAGTTCTCAGCCTGATTTACTAGGTAATAATAACAGCTTTCTTTTATTGAATGACTACTGTGTTCAGGCTCTGTGCTAGAGGCTATGCCTTAGCAACATTTCTTTGCTCGACCTTGGACAAGGCCCTGACTTGGCTTTAATATTTTGGATGGTAGTAATAGTATGTCTATTACTGAGTTGCTTTGAGATTTCAATGTTTAAGTGAGATGCATGTAAAACGCTATAATAGAGGCTGACATGAGAGAAGTGTTTAAATGTTATTGTTGCTTTTAATTCTTACATATGTCTTTGAAGTGGACATCTTTCCTTTTTATAAAGAGGAAAACATTCTGGGGGCATTAAGTGCCTCACAGGTACCAGCTTGAGGATTATGGCAAGTAATCTGCCTAGATTTGTATGTATGCTAATGAGTTCATCTATTCAGGACCATTCTATGGTTTCTCCTAGGTGCTGGGAAGTCCCTGGTTGGAGTGACTGCTGCATGCACTGTTCGAAAGCGCTGCTTGGTGCTAGGCAACTCAGCTGTGTCTGTGGAGCAGTGGAAAGCCCAGTTCAAGATGTGGTCCACCATTGATGACAGCCAGATCTGCCGCTTTACCTCTGATGCCAAGGACAAACCTATAGGATGCTCTGTTGCCATCAGCACCTACTCCATGCTGGGTCATACCACCAAAAGGTCCTGGGAAGCTGAACGTGTCATGGAGTGGCTCAAAACTCAGGAGTGGGGCCTCATGATCCTGGATGAAGTCCATACCATACCAGGTCAGCAGGCTGGGCACTGGGCTACCCACCCACTGTATGATAATTAATTTCTAGTTCTTGGGTTGGGGAGTGACTGCTATGTGGACAGTCCCTTCTTTCTGGAAAGACTTGCTGGATAACGTTTTAAATGATTCTTAAGTGTGTGTACAGTGGAAGTGGGGGGAAGATGGCTATATAAATTCACACATTTCTTAATCACTGACCCAGAGTAGTCATTTCTTTTTTTTTTTTTTTAATTTATTGCAATTTGGGTGAAGATTTACAGAGCAAATTCACTTTCCATACAGCAGTTCACATATACTTTGTCTCATGTCATTGACCACAGTTTACCACAATGCA